GGGGGGGGGGGTGTCTAGTAAAACCTCAACTTCAATCTCTAAAATTACCACAAGGCAAAAATTCTTTTCTTAATGTTCCCAACTAATTAAACCACCCCTCTGCTGAGAAGCAATGAGTTAATAATGAATGAAATTTAACATTTTGCCAGGCCAGCTGGGAAGTGAAACACAGCTTGTCACCTTCAATTAGCAGCTCATTACGGCTACTGGTACACTAGAAACTTGAATTCTGATCATTTCACTGGCATCCATACAATGTCACAACTGAGATTCTTCCTGCAGAAAGCCTTCAATGGAAGTAGACAAAACAAATGCAATGAAGGCTGTTCAGAGTTGACTGAACAAATCTTGATAGAACTAAAAACTCTATCTGTGGAAAAACCCTCTTATTCAATGCCTAATAGAAAAAGGTAATTCTTTCAAATAAGAGTTTTCAGAAAGTCACACATTCATAAAGGAGTCACGCTATCTGCCAATAACACAATTGTGTACACGCCTGACATATCCTTTTGTTCTCTACTTTCTCTCTTTTTAAAAGCCTTGACCATTTCCCTGGGACAGAGCAAGACCATCTTAATTTTCCCCATGGGCAGGCTGCTGAGGAAGCTCTCGGTGACATCAGCAGTGTGCAAGCCCCAGAACAGGAAGGACGCGTGTTCCACTAAAACACACAGGCATGACATAAGCTTTTACTTTGTACGCTAGTACACCCTCCACAGTGCCACCAGAAAACAAGACAACTGAAATTACGTATCAGAGGAGCAGAATGGGAAAAATGAAGAAAAATTAAAACAGCTTATGATCAACAATTCAATTTAACCAACTTATAGATGACTCCACCCAACAAAAGCAGAATTTGCTTTCCTCTGAAGTGCTCACAATTAAGAATTATAAGCCTGGGGACCTGTGGTCTATTCCATTACCTCACACTCAAAAGTTACAAACTTCAAAAATCTATCTATCTTGTTCAAAGTCTCACTAAGTGATACACCTCTGATCATTTATTCCTGTTTCAGAATCTATCAATGACGCCCCACGGCCATAGAATCAAGTTTGACCTTTTATCTAAGCAAATAAAGCCCCACGTAATATGGACCCAATTTTTTAAATATTTAGTTTACATTTCCTTCTTTCATACACCTCGCCCTCCATCCAGTCCATATTCCATTGGTGGTTTTTGTGCTCAAGGTCTCTGTTCCATCCCCACCTCCACACCTCTAATCTTCAGGATGACTGCAACGACGCCCTCCCAGCTCCAAGCGCTGCTGCTTCTTTTGAAACCTCGCAATACTCCTGCCCATCGGCTCCCTTAAAGAATCCTCCAGCCACCAGCGACTTCACAGGAGATCCCACCCACCACCCCAAGGCGAGTGGGCAACCTAAGGGGCCAGGCTCTTTCCCACACCCTCCCTGTTAGTCAGGCCAGAGGCCGCACTGGGACCTGTGGTGAAAGTGGTGGGATATAGATGTGCCTATCACTCGCTTCTGTTAGAGTCGTACTGATCAGAGAACTGGTTCCAAAGTAGAAAAGCAGACACTGAAAAATCTAAGCCATTGGCAGTTGTTTTATGTTTTATAATTATTTTTAAATAAAGGAATACTAAACCATACGTAAAGAATGTACCCACCTACGGTGAACACCTTGGTGAATTTTCGTAAGGTAGGTAGACAGACAGACATATGTAGCTCCACCCAGATAGGGAAAAACACTCCCAGTGCCTCAGAAATGCTCCTCATCCCCCTTCAGTTCACTAGTCCCCACCCTCCCTGAAGTCACCACTAGAGACTCCTCGGTGGCCTGACTAAGGGAGCGGCCAGGTGGGGGAAGCCTCCACGTCAAGGAAGCACAGGAGGCCTCCAGCAAGGAGCCAGCAGGACACCAGGGCCCTCAGTCCTGAACCCGCAAAGAAATGAACCTAAGGCTGGAAGTGGATTCGCTCCCAGTCAAGCCTACAGACAGAACCCAATTAGGCCGACACCCTGACAGCAGCCTTGTAAGGCCCTAAGCTCGGGACCCGGTAGCTGTGCCTGGACTGACGAGCTGCAGAAACTGTGAGATGCTGTCTGTTGTCTTAAGGCATAAGGTCCGTCCTAATTTATCTATTCCCAAGAGGAATGGATAATCAATACATATCTTGTCCCTCTTCGCACACAATGACCTTTAGATTCAAGTGCAAGTCCAAAGACCAGACCGAATTTCCAAATTTTTTAATTGAAATTATAAAAGTTTGTCCTTCTGCCATTGTACTACTTCAAAGTATCAGGTAGAAAATTAAATTTCAGCACTGTAACTGAAGTTATGATTTACTGTTTACATTTTAATCTATCAAATTAATTTCTTTCCATAAAGTAGTATATGGACAATTATGTTAAACTAATACACCTTTAAATAATTTTTTTTAATGTTACCAATATAAACTATTCTGAAACAAACCTGAGTGGGTGTCTATTTTTCCGGTTCTTCTGGAACACACTAACATTGCTAGTATCTGACTTACTTTCATTAAGGCAGTAGAGACAGTTTACAAAATAATAAAACTGGTAAATTACTGAACATTAAGCACTTTAAATCAAAAAAGTTATTTTAATCTTAATAACTTATATCAGTAATTTATTCTTAATGAATTGAGGTTACACAGTTTAAAAGTTTGACCAAATGTATATAACCACATCATTTGGTTGAGTGATCATCAGAATTCTCAATCCATTACTTCAGAATTGTTTTATATACAAATAACACTATTCATGTTATAAACACGGGGAAATATTCTGACAGTCTGTTTCAGATCTAACAATTACTATTTAAGGAAAGAGTCAACAATACAGTGAGGTCGAGCCAAATGAACCACAAACGGGACTATGAATTGGAATAGAAATTAAGGTTTTTAGGTATGTACAGTTATGTATTGCTGTTGAAGGACACCTTTTCATGTTAGAATTAATAATTCCTTTTCTATGTCAAAAACTAGGTTATTAGCATCTAGAAAATGATGAATGGCCTGGGTATCCTGAGCCTTTTGTAAAGGGTTAGTATGACGCTGAGTGCTTCAGCAGTTTTTTTAATGCATAAAGAAATGATGATGGGCCTTACGCTTTACCTTTGAAATTTAAACACTGCCTAAAAATGGCATATTAGCTCATCTTTTATGCTTTGTGGGGGGAAAAATTACAAAGAATACAATATTAAACTCCTACACTCAAATTTATAAATATCAAGAATATTAAAATTTTGACTCCCAGTCTACTTCCAATTTTTACCCTAATATGCTATTTGCTTTATATTCATGTATTTTATTAGAATCATAGCCATTTCTTACCTTGGACAATGTTTTCAAAATAATTTTTTGGTAATGCAATACAATGAGCATCACATTAAAGCAATGTGAAATATGGCTTTTATGATTTGAAAATCCTAAACATTAATACCATTTTCCTTTACAAAGACTTTTATTATTTTTCTTCATGATATTTAACAGATTGAACCAAAATTAGGAAAAGCGGAACAAAGTATTTGAGAAAGTGACATTTTCCAAGAATGTGCATGTATAAGTGAAACACAAAATAGCAAAGACATTTTAAATCTACCACAAATTGCAAGAAGCATGGAAACACTTATTTTTAAATGGGAAAAAGCTGTACAACCTTCAACATGTGTTACTGAATCTAATCCTTTAAATATAAGAGGAAAATTTTTGATAGAATTACATTATTTGTATTCTGATGCAGCTTCTAAACAACAAAAGCCCCTTGGTTGCGTTTTTCATTAAGTAATTAAAGAGAAAAGGCGAAGAAAATGGAAACTTAACCATATTAAAAGCTAAATTTGTGATTAGCCTAGTTAATAACAACATTTTTCTTCTGCAAAGCCCTGAATAAACACCAGGTAATTAAACCTTCCAACAAGCCCACAAGTTGAGAGAGCGGCAGCAGTGAGGCAGGAAGGAGCAACACG